GTTCCAGAGCATTCTTAACAAGCTGGGACCTGCAAGAACATTGCAGGCTGCCTACCGCCTCTCTCCAGCTGACCCTAAAATGTTTTTCACGAACTTCGTGTGTTACTTGTTTGTTTCCCTCCTCTCCGGCTTCTACCAGTACGGTTTGTAACCTGCAGAGCAGCACCGAGGGGAGCTGCTCACAGAATGACAACCTTGCCATACCGGATCCCTAGGCCCCCTCTGCCCTTCCCGAGCCAGGCTGTTGCTCAGAGCCAGTCAGCCCTGGGGCTGGGGCTGCGCCTCTACAGGCTGGAACTCTCTCCATATCCCCAGCGGCTTGATTTCTCTCTGCCTGCCTTCTGCACGCCTGTCCTCTTACTGAGAAGGCTTTGACCCTCCTTGGACTTGAGAGCTTCATTAGCCACCCTCCTTGACTCTGCAATCATCTGTCTAATTCTTCTGGATCAAGTGACTGAGACCCTAGGATTCCAACCCTGAAATTCAAAATTTCTCTTGATATTGAGCATTCAGTTCTCCCTTCCATCCTCACATTGATGGTTTCATCTGCACATACTGTTAGAGTGACATATGACCTTTAGGTGCTATAGGTTATCATACCAGCTCCAATACAAGACTTTCAGTTGCTTCTGTGGAATTTTTCTCTGGGTACTTTACTACTAGCTAAGATTCAACAAGCCAGAAATAAAACAGTATCTTCATTTAAAAGGCAGTGACTGAGAGAGGAGGAGAGAGAGTGGTAGAGACAAAGGGAGAGACACAAAGAGAGAAGGAAAGAAGTTTCCACCCACTCGTTCACTCCCCAGTGGCTGAGACTGTGCCACGATGAAGCCAAGGGCCTGGAACGCCATCCATGCTTCCTGAGCACCTGCGCCTTTTCTACTGCTTCTCCGGCAGCATCAACAGGGAGCTGGATCAGAAGTGGAGTAGCTGGAATGGGAACTAGCACTTAGACGTGATGCTGACATTGCAGACACAACACTGCCCCACCCCGACTTCATTTACTCATTCTCAGACCTCAGTGTGATCTTTCCTACCCCCTACATCTGACCATTGTCTCCTCTCTGGCTAAAATACAGACTTTCATAGCTTTAGTACTTCAAAATACTCTACATATCGATGGAGAACAAGACATGCTTGTAGTCTCTTATCATCTTTCCGTAAAACACTTATTGACTAAAAAAGAAAAAACAGTAACTTTTATAAATGGACAGCCTAACCAAGAGATCAAAGTTGCCACTATTAATAATTGATAAACAAAGATTAAATGACTCCATACATGATGTGTTACCCCACGTAAGCTATCCTGAGAAGGAAGCATCTAACAAAACTGCTTAACATGAATCAGAGAGTGAGAAGGTGCCGGTCAGCCAGAGAGACAGCAATGCAGTGACAACTGGTCTGCATTCTTCAAAAATGGCATTATTGTGAAAGAAAAAGAAGGGCTGAGCAACTGTTACAGATGGAAAACAAAACAAAACAAAACACGGCTGGGTCTCATACCAGAGAAAACACCGATTAAAAGTACTGATATAATAGGGCCTGGCATAACAGCTCAGGGGCTAACTACTTGCTTTACATGTGCCAGGATCCCATATGGGAGCCAGTTCAAGCCCTGGCTGCTCCACTTCCCACCCAGCTCCCTGCTTGTGGCCTGGGAAACCAGTAAACGACAGCCCAAAGCCTTAGGACCCTGCATCCACATGAAAGACCCAGAAGAAGTTCCTGGCTCCTGGCTCCTGGCTCTGGATTGGCTCAGCTCTGGCCATTGCAGTACCTTGGGGAATAAACCAGCAGATGGAAGATCTTTTCTGTCTCTCCTTCTCTCTGTAAATCTGCTTTTTCGATAAAAATTAATCTCCCCCAAAAAATGAGGCAATGGAAGAAAAACTGAACTATATACACATTATATGAAATTTTCATATCAATGTTAAATTTCTTGAATTTGATAGCTGAAGTAGATTGAAAGACATACTTGTCCTGTGAACATACAGTAAAATGTTAGGGGCGAGATCTTGTACACCAAAGGAAAAAACAGAACGAGGAAACAAACGTGACAAAATGTTCAACATCAGTGAATCTGGATCAAGGCACACTTGAGTTCTTTGTAGTATTTTTATAACTTTTCTGAAACCACTTAGAATAAAATACTGAGAAAACATCCCTTGTTCCTTCACAGCCTGCTGAACCCAGCACACATTCTCGACTCCCATTCAGCTGAGACCTGGGACATAAGGCCTCAGTGTACTTTCCCGCCTCTCTTCAACTGCAGTCTTAAAACATCTTTAATCACACTGCACACTCCCTAAACACTTGTCCAGAATCCACAGATTTGCTCATGTTCGTGTCTAAAATATACCTTCCTCCTCCCACTCGCACTTACAAAAGTCTAACTTCGCTTTGTCAAGACCTATCTCATTTACTACTGCTTTCTAAATCTCATAAAACTAAATGAAAATCTCTCCCTTAAAGCTGAATAATCCCAGGTCATCGGTAACTCTGAAGTAAAATTGAAAAGGAGAAAGATAATATGATCAATTTAAAGCATGTGGCATTGAAAAGTAAGCACAGAGCAGGCAGGCCAGAGGTCAGGGACTGAATAGAGATTTAGGATCACACACCCCGAGAGTGTAGTTGAAGCTACAAATATCAGAGGAAGCGTGCAAAGAGAGGAGGACCAACAATCTCTCCTACCACATCAGTTGCTATCAGCTGACAGCAAACGAGACAAAAATATACGGAAAACACATTCCTACAGGCAGAACAAGACCACAACACAGCCTGCAGAACACTGAGAGAGACTTTGAAGGCAGTATTAAATGTGGCAGTATGTGCAAAGAGAGAGAGAGGACTCGGTGGAAAAGAGGAGGGGAGTAGAACGAGTGGGGGGAGAGAAGAGGAAGAGGCCATGGCGAGAGAAGCGTCGACGGCCTGCCAGGACTGAGGCCAAAAGAAGCTGTCAGTGTCAGCAAACCACCTAATCCTTGGAGACACCACACAGTGAACTTCGGAAAGGAAATGGGCCCAAACTGGCCTACACTGATGCAGGCAGACTGAAAACAGGAAGGAGAAAATCTATACATTATCATCTAAATGGACTCTTACCAGAAAATAAGAAGATTCATCATGTTATGTCAGTCTAGGAACAAAAAAGATAATTCATGTTGGCACTGTTTCTCTCACTACTAATACACAATAAGGAATTTTTAAAAGGCACATTTAAAAAATGTAATTATGAGCTTCATCAAAACATTCGTATAATCTTGTTGAAAATTACAATGCAAAAGAATGAGTTATAAAGATACCTACCGTTTATGAGCTATTTGTAAAAAACACAGCATAAATAATTCTAAACAATAATTGCTAAGCAATTCTTAGAAAATGACTTTGTGTTTCATAGAAGCCCTCTTACTGAGTCACAAAAAAATCTGACAAATTTAAGGTTATGCAGTGTTCCGTATTAGAACTCAAAACAACAAATGGAAATTTGGCACATTACTTATTAAAACATTCTCTTAATAAATCTATGATTGGGGCTAGCTTTGTGGCAGAGCAAGTTAAGATCCAGTCTGCACTGCTGGCTTCTCATATCAGAGCGTCGGGATCCTAGCCACTCAGCTTCCCATCCAGCTGCTAGCTAAGGCCTGTGGAAAGCGGCAAATGGCTCAAGTGCTCGGGGCCTCTGCACCCACGTGGGAGACACGTGCCCCACCACTGCGGCCATTCGAGTATAAACTAGCAGATGGAAGATCTGTCCCCTTCTCTGCCTCTCCCTCTCTCTGCTATTCTTTCAAATAAGTAAGAATAAATCTTACAAAGATTAAAAAGAAAAAATCTTTGTGAATGTTTTTATTCATCCTAACCCCTGCTCCTATCTTATCCTTCTTCTTAACTGGCTAAGAAAATTTAAACAGAATATCACCTATCTGAAATCTGGTTTATAAACCTTCAAAGGCCATTATCACAGACAACTTGTGGTATTACTGATGCAATATTATACAAACAAAAAATAAGTTTCAGTGTTACACTGTTTGCAAAATTGCATTCTGTTTCAATAACTACCTTATGAAAATATTCCTCACAAAATTAAACACTGCAGGTTTACCGACCATCAAACAGAATGTATCATCAAGTAGCTAAACTCAGAAACCACAAAGCGCTCAACAAGACAGAATATATACTTAGGACATGCATGTGAAGAAAAGAAAATAATTATTTTGATTTATCAACTCATATTATTAGTTACATACATTTTTAGCCAACTTAATTTTTTGAGAATCCATAACTTCCAGTTACTGTAATACACAAAGCAGACGCCAAATAATTCTACTCTAACCACAACATCAGCTCAATATTGATGCCAATTCAAAATGCAGTTTAAAGCAGGAGTTTTTTTCCAGAAATAAAAATAATGACATCAAGACCATAACTCAAGGACAGATTCTGTTAAATGCATTAAACTGGACTGCAGCGTCCTCAGAAAAGAACGTGCAATTTTCTATTGACATTAAAATGATTTTTCATTAATACGGATGTTGTCACTTTTACTAAAAAAGTTGGCATCACAATTCACATTTAACAAGCAAGTGAATTCCTTTGTTCAGTAACGCAGTCGACACGCACTTCTGCGTGCCTACTCACACCTCAGCCATGGCTACTCGGTCTGCCCTGAAGGCTTCCCACCCCTCAGCCAAGATGAACAGAACGAATAGGAGGAACACGGTAGTTCATTGATACAGTTCTTGCATGCTTCAGTTTTCTGCCTTACAACGGAATCCTAAGCCATGCTAGCAGAAGCAAGCAGAGGCTGATTCCAGCTCCCAGCGTGCAGGCTCTGCCCTACATCAGGCTGGGTTTCTGGGACGGCGTTTTCAAAGCAGACAAAGCATTACATGCCCAAAGGGAGCACCTCAATCTCTCTAGGATTTCTTCTGAAGCTCCTAGGATGTAATCGTGATGGCGCCATCTGAAGGACCCAATCCAGCCAATCAACCCCAACTCAGACAATTAGCATAAGAGTTTAGGCAGCATTGAACACATAAGTTAACACATGCACCCGAACAGTTGCATTCAACATCCAAACTGGTGTTCACATCACAGGGGTCTACCGTGATTCAAAGGTAACTGAACTGTTGCAGAAGCCAGCCTCCTTCAGTACAACAAAAGCTGTGTTCACTTACTGTCACTGGATGCTTTTTGACATTTCAGCCTGAGTCTGTATCTTTCATTCTCTTTCAGCAATTTAGAAATAACTTTGTGTACGCTATTCCATACTGACACCTTAAAAAGAGAAGCACGATTAATAAATGCTGAGCAGACACAGAAATATGTTTTGAAAGAGGCAATTAGGAGAGAATCAGCTGTGTTCCATGTCAATGGCTATACTCGCTATAAAGCAGGATCAGCACTTACAGATATAAGACTCAATGTAATTGTTTCCCCAGGGGCAGTCTAACCTCTGATCTTTATTTCCAACTTCTCACGGTTTCTTTTCTATGGGATTTAGAGAAACTGTACGAACTTTCCTGGATGAACTTTCCTTATAAGGCATTGTCCATCAATTCCTACTTAAATAATTCCAACACATTCAGTTATAAAAGGCAACAAAAATGGCAAATTTATTCCTGTATCTAAGCTGTTGGGCAATGCTTTGATTTTTTTAATGTATTTTATTCCAGTTAAGAATTAGATATTTCTCCTAGAACATAATACAGCACAAACACTAAGGAGCAATGAACATACAGGAATCGAAACAACGAGGGCTATGCCATCCAGCTAGATCTACACGGCAACACTAGCCTTGCAACTTACCAACTGACACGGAGCAAATGCTTTTGCTCCTAAGTAGAAAGGGCTTCTACACTGGATTAGAACAATTACTGAACCATACATATGCAAAGCTCTAGTTCCAGTGGCCCAAACTGTGGCTAACAGTCAAAACTGGCTGTTGCTCTTCACTCTTTCCATCCAGAAGCTCTGGAGGAAATATGTTTTAGTTTAATGTGAAAATTAAACACTCACTCAAAATTTGTCTATTGCAATGCTTAGTCACGTCGGTTTTCTGTGCTGTTGTTTTTCAAGAATATTTGATTTATTTTAGTTGGAAAGGCAGGATTACAGAGAAGAGACGGAAAGAGCAATGGTCAGTCCCTTTGAACTGTTATTTTACATTATACACAAATCATAAATCAAATAAAGCCAGAGCTCAGAAACAGTGGGTTTTTAAATCACCTAACGATTTCTTTAAACCAAGGGATAAAATTTGTAATGTCCATCAAAAATTAGTACAGCATGTAACTTACATATTTTAAAACACTCGAGTCACCGTTAACATCCGGGTTAACATGGTAAGAAGGCTAAAGCAATAAAAGTTCATCTTTGTCAGCTTTCTGCTAGCAACTTAATATGGATTGTTTGTCTTTGAAAAGAGTAACCTTACAGAAATATGGATATATGACTGTTTTCTACTAAATCCATGATTTTCTTTTTAAGCTGCAATGTCACAATTAGTTATAGTCTATGGAGCATATATATTTTTCAAACACTCCCAGTGGGTTATATTTTAATTAAAATATTTTTCATATCTTCAAACACTGAAAAGATTTTTTTATGGTTAATAAACATGCCCAAACCCAGATGAATTTCTACTAAATTACTTTTTTGGTCACTAGAAATTAAATTATTCAAAAAACATAGCTGTTCCCACTGTCTTGAATTTCCACACACTTGTATTTAGAAACGATGACCAACAGCTCAATTGTTCATTCCTGTGACAACAGCATACCTTTTTCTTCTTCTTCGTGATCTTGGCAGCACCATCCAATGGTATGGGGAAATCAAATTCTTCACCTGCACCCTTCCGGTTGAAACCTATTAAAGAGAGTGCAATGGTGGAATACCATGATCAGCATGTATTTTAAAGGATTCTTCTAGAGGCCTGAGGATCAAGACCTTAAAAGTGTCTCCTGAATTCTCTTTGAGGAATTTTTCACTTGTTGGTAAGACTGGTTTGCCAATTAGCTAATAATCTGAAAACAAATAAGAAAATGAGAGAGAGACAACCCTATAAGTACCCAGGAAATAATCCAGCTAGGTCAGTCCCTTTCTATATGTCAGCAACAGAGTAACCGATAAATACCAGAAGCTGCATACTGCCCCCGGGTGCCATAGGGGTACCAGGATGGCCTCCATTTTCTCAATTCCACTTCAGATGTATCTCACTCCAGATTCATTACACTTTCTCTCTAAAGCTTTATGTATGTATGTATGTATGTATGTATTGAAAAGTCAGCTATACAGAGAGGAGGAGACAGAGAGGAAGATCTTGCATCTGCTGATTCATTCCCCCAAGAGGCCACAATGGCCAGAACTGAGCCAATCCAGACCAATCTGAAGCCAGGAGCCTCCTCCAGGTCTCCCATGCGGGTGCAGGCTCCCAAAACTGTGGGCCGTCCTCCACTGCTTTCCCAGGCCACAAGCAGGGAGCTGGATGGGAAGCAGGGCCTTTGGGATTAGAAATGGTCCCCATATTGGATTGTGGTATGTGCAAGGTGTGGACTTTAGCCGCTGGGCTACCATGCTGGGCCCAATTTATTACACTTTCAACTGCATGAAACACTTTGTAATTCTATGTATCCTACAGATTTTCAAGTTCATGAAAAATATGTATTATGAGGAAAATGTGTTTGGCTCAAATGAATTTATCTCTGAGTTTCATTTTCCAGGATCTTTTAGAAGTGCCCTCCCATGTCATCCTGACCCCTTCCAGCCTCTCTCCACGCTGCTTCTCCGGCTAGAACACTATGTACTTACCTCCATACACACACCTGCCAAACTGCAACACCCCTACGTGTTCAAGACTCAGCTCGTTAACTAAAACCTCAGCTTCACATTTCCTAAGGTCTTCCTTCCAACACGCGCAGCCCTACACGTTCTGATTGCATCAAGGAGAAAATGTTGAGTGTGGTCCTCACGTTATTCGGCCTTCTCTCAGCCTCCCTCATCTCCCTTCCGGGTTGCAGACGGCCTTCCGCAGACGGCCTATTTAGCTAGGATGTAATAATACTGTTCTGCCTTGATTAGATTTAATTTATTTCTATTTATGGTAACTGGTCCAGGCTTTCCACTGAGGTAATGAGGTAAAGTGTTCTTCCGATGAAGTTTTGTTAAGAGAGAAAATGTAGCTGGTGAAATAACTGTATGAAGTAAATGACAGTACAGATGACGCAGATACAGCTCAAGAAACAACTCCATTTTGGGAGACTCTGATCTCCATGGATCCGGATGTCTCCCTCTCTCAAAATACACAAAACCCTGGGAATGGCTCCTCTCTCATCAGCCCAGCTCTTACCTAACCTAGATCCACATTCCTCAAGGAGAGGACGGGAGCCATTAACTCTGCCTATAATTATTTGGCCATCTGAAATATGTCAAAAAATACGGAGTATATAAATAAAGAAGAGACTGAATTCTTTCTCCCATCTTCACTGATGCTATTTTCAGCATTTTTGTCCCTGACTTGGTTTCTTTCTCTACTTACTCCTCTTCCACACACTCTGACCTAGTTTTTTTTCCCCTATCACTGTCCATCACTGCTCAGCTTGCCCACCTGTAATTCCCTCCTGCCTTAGCCCATATGCAGATGTCATTGTTTGATTCTACCAGTAGGAAGCCTTCCCAGATTCTCTCAACTCCAACTTCTTCATCACTTCCCCAAACCATCCATTTGAACATCACAACAGGACTCATCATCTTACATATTAAATTCATGATAGCTCTTCCAAGCTCCATGGGGACAGGAAGTCATTATGCTTGCTCCTGGATGTTTAAACTCCAGGACATCTTACAGACAGCTGATGAGTTTATCTCCCAGAAACGAACCTATCTCTAATAACCTCACTCCACCACTCCTCAGCAGCCATCAAAGTCACAGTCTAAAAGGCATTCCACAATCTAGTCCAAAACTTGCCTCTCATTCATTCAACAGTCTGGCTTGTCTTCTCCGTGCTAGACATTGACCTAATCACCCTCCTTTCTAAACTGACTTACTCAATATGCTGAACGCCTCCGGGCCCTTGGCATGCACTGCTTCATTTAATCTTCACAGCAGCCCTTTCCCCACTCCCTAGATAAGGAGATTGAGACTCAGAGCAGACATGGCACATGGTCAGGCACTGCTAATAAAGGAGACCAGATTCTGTTTCCTGACTTCAAAGTCATCGCTCCCAACGATCCCAATCATTCCATCTGGGCTTTCTCTTGTCGTGACCCAGGCGCCTGCCTCTAAGCTTCTTCCTTGGGACTGTCAAAGCCCTGCCTCAAGTCTCTCTCGAGACTCTTACATACGAAGTTACAGCCCTGTTATTCACACATAAACCCCTTGAGAGCAGAATATTTGTCCAACACATCTGGGTCACTGGCACCTGTCACAGTCGTCACAATGCGGCACGTGTTAAATCAATATTGCAGAAGGGCATACCTATTTAACGAATGTCTACTTAAGACTGATATGAGAAACACTCAAGAACTAGTAAAATCTAAGGACTAAAGCGATGAACGGCTGGATTGAAATGCCTTTCCCAGAACGGCCTTCACTGACTGCACAAGCACACAGGGTGGTCCCTGAGGTTAATGTCATCACCAGGGATGCAGAGACCACCAATCGGACCGCGACTCTTCCTTCCTGGGTGCCTGTGCAATCCTGTTCCTCGACCTCCACTGTCAGGATGTTAGCTCATCTTTCCACCAGATTACTGCACTGCCTTGCAAACAACAGCTCAAACTCATCCTAAATCTGCAATCACTGGCCAATAACTGACACTTACGACAGGGGAGGTATTTCCAAGTGCAGTCTGAAGGACCAGACACCACACGTGGCAAGCATGGAGCTTCATGGCAAAAACTCCATTTACGGAGGAAAACTGCAATTAAAGGGACAGTCCAATGGCATGGTGTCTAGAGAAAGGAAGTCAAAAAGAAAACAGCAATAATCTATAGATACATTAAACATTTTCTAGTCACAATCACTACCTTGTGAATGAATCTAGAGTTTATCAGCAGAAACAAAAAGCAGAAAAACCTTGGACATATAAAAAAAAATTCTTTTAATTTGCTAAGCAACTCCAGTATGAAAAGGGGTAAGCCATACTGTAATTATATGGAATGTTAAAACAGATGTGATAATAGGAACACTGCCTATCAGAATCAATGAAATGTATTCAAAGTGGTAGTTAAAAGTGATTTTGTTCCACTAAACACTTACCATCAAAGTAATAAATAAAATACCCTATTTAAAAGATCTGTATAAAAAGACCAAAGTAAACCAAAAGAAAGCACAAATAAGGATGTAAAATTAAAAAGGCAGAGGGGCAGATGTTTGATCTGGAAGTTAAAAGCGAGGGTTAAGACACTCAGGTCCCACGTTAGAGTGCCTGATGGCCACGCCCTGATCTAGTTCCTGACTCCAGTTCCCTAACACAGGCTCTGGAAGGCAGTGGTGTTGGCTCGCGGAGGGTTCCTGCCCCACAAGGGAGATCTGGATTGAATTTCCAGCTTCTGGCTTCAGCCTCAAACCAGCCACTGTTATTGCCAGCATTTCAGAAATAAACCAGCAGAGGCTGGCACTCACTCTCTCGCTCTCTCCCTTCCTCTCTCTGCTTCTCAAATAAATGACAAAACAGACAGATTAAGGAGAGAGTGATCAGAGAGGCAAAACTGAATTAATAAAGAAAACTCAAAGCAGGCACTTGAAACAGCAGTGATGCTGCGCTCGGGAGTGCCTGCACCCGTAGCAGTGCCTGGCATGGAGTCTGCTCCACCCTCCATTCCAGCTGCTAATATTCCTAGGAGATCACAGGTGATCTTGCCTCCCATCCCAGAGACAAGGATAAAACTCCTGGCTCCTGACTTCATCCTGGCCTAGCCTTCTCTCTCTCTCTTCATTTCAAATAAATAAACAAATGTTTCAAATCAATCAAAATCTTGATTTTTCTTCAACAAAACAAAACACTGGCTGACTTAAGAAAAAGTGAGAAAGAACAGAGAAATTTTTTAAAAATGATAAGGAAGGAACTAGCCATTAAAACACAGGATAATTGTTTAAAATCCCAAGTAACTACTCTTCAGACCTCTAGCAAATACATTAAGCATACATGAAATGAGTAAGATAAAATAGATAATTGCCCAAGGAAAATACAGATTACCAAACTGACCCATTAGAATGAGTTTGAACAGACCAGTTTCAGCAGAAGACAGAAAAAAAAGTTTTCTAAGTAATTATCCCACAAAAAGTACTGGACTCAAAAGGTTTCATACAGAAAGTTTACCAGATTCCCAATGGTCCATAAATTATATACCAGAATATAGAAAAGGAAGGAAAAATCATTATTCTGATGAAGAATAACCCTAATACCTAAACCAAGAGAAAAAGAAAACTACAGGTCATGATCCCTATAGAAAAAAATTCTAAGAAAATTCTTAGCAAAGTCCAACAACATATTAAAAAATAGTACATGGGCAATGCAAGATTGGCCTGATATCATGACATACATTCATATATTACACACAGATAAATCTACAGACATAAAAATGGATCAAGAAGAAACAAATTATCCACATTTATAAATGCTATCAGCCAAGGAAATTATGAGAATTGGTGATAAATAAATAAAATAAATAAAAATTATAATAATAAGGTAGCTCATGGAATGCATAGGATCTAAAAGAGACATACCAATCAACCAACCAACTGAGTGACAACAGTCACAAAAATCCTCATAAGGGATAATCCCATTTAAATGAAATCTTCACAAAAAGGAAAAATCTATGGAGACATAAAGGAGACAAGTGTTTGCTCAGGGCAGGAGTTTGGAGTTAGTGGATGTAAGGGTCAATGGTGACCGTCAGCTGAGGGATGCAGGTTTCTAGAACGGATTGTGCTCATGGAAACAGAATTCTGTGATCAGAAAAAAAAAATTACTCAATTTTGTACTCTGTGTAGGTGAGCTGTGTAAACCCGATTTTAAAATCCACAGTGGCACAGGCAGAGGAAGGGGGTCACCAAAAGAGAATTACAAGCCACTGAGGCAGACTGTTCCTCACTACACTGTAGTGGAGTGTCTAGAATGCATACATCCATCAAGCCTTCTCAAAACATATTTTAAAAGATTTATTTGTTGCAGCCAAAACTGCAGCATAGCACACGAAGCCTCCGCCCAGGACACCAGCATCCCATATGAGCACCACTTTGAGTCCCAACTGCTCCACTTCCGATCCAGCTTTGTGCTTGGGGCCAGGAAAAGAAGAATGGTCCATATCCTTGGGACCCTGCACCCACATGTGGTGGACATGAAGAAGCTCCTGGTTTCAGATTGGCTCAGCTCTGCATGTTGCAACCATTTGGAGAGTGAAACAGAAGATGGAAGACCTTGCTCTTTCTCTATAACTTTTTCAAATTTAAAAAAAGGGGGGGAATTTATTTTATACATATGAAAGAGTAACACAGAGCTAAACAAAGAGCTCTTAAATGTTCTGGTTTACTCATCAAGTGGCCCCAGCAGCTGGCAGCCCAGACTGAAGCCAAGAAGCAGGAACCCTAGGAGGGCTGGGGAGTCTCTCCCAGCTGTGTGTCAGGCGTAGCAGCAGGGAGCCGAGTGGGAAATGGAGAAGCTGAGACTCCACACTTGGAGACGGCGGCTTAACCAGCTACACAATCTGAATCGAATTCTATTCGAATTCGAATAGAATGAATCGAATTCATTCTATTTTTGACCAATACGTTTTCCCGCCACAATTAGAGGGCATCACAGGCCAGACTCTTATTAACATCAAAAACAGCCTGAATTCCTACGAATACATGAAAAATGTATGAGGACGGGAAAAAAAAAAATCTTCAAATTGGGCTTTCCCCACAACAGCTCCCCAAGGGCCCCGGGCTCGCCTCGAGCGACCTTCAGCTCCACCCCGGCCGCCATTTTGTAATGCACGGCTCAAGTGAATTAAAGGCTTTTCCAGTCACACACACACACACACACACACACACACACACACACACACCCCAGACCAACGCCTCCTCAAAGACCAACTCGAAGCCGCCCGGTGTGGCTGGCTGCCCAGATGGACCCCTCAGCCTGAGAACCCGCCAACATGAGGAGAGGCTGACAGGACGTGCCCGGGGCAAGATGGCCGCGGGCCACCAGGAAACCACCGCCCTCCTGCCCACCCCGGCCCTGTCCTGCCCACCCCGGCCCTGCTCGCCCTGCCCACCCTCCGTGCCCTGCCCGGCCCTGCCCGCCGCCTCTCCACCTGCTGAGCCTCGTGCCCGCGCAGTCTGCCTGCCGGGGCTCCGCACGCGCAATGCCTGCCACCGGGCTGTGGCGCAGGCCTTGGCCGCCTGCCCCGGGGCCGCTTCTGGTCGTAGCTGCTCCTGCTCGCGGGACTGGGCCGCCAGCGCCGGGGGACAACGCCTTTGAGCCTTGGGGCCGCCCAGCTGCCAGACGCCGCCACACCGGTAGGAGCCGAAGCGGGAGATATAGACGAAGCGCGCCTGCCCCTGGACCTGCTCCTGGTCCTGCCCCTGGTCCTGCCCCTGGTCTTTGGCCGCCATGGCAGCGGGTGAGCCCAGGTCACCGTGGCCGGCCGTGAGAAGCCAGGAGCCGCGTGGGGGGCTGGGAGGGCTGGACCACTGGGGAGCAGGGTGTGCTGAGTCAGACCGCTCCATGACAGGGGTGACAGGGGAGACTGGCTAGGGGGCGGCGGAGGCTGCTGTGTGCTGGGGACATGGCAGTGGTGCCAATAGACCTGGATGAAGCCCAGAGCAGGTTCCCCTGCTGTGCAGAGCGTCCATCTTGTCAGCTCCCTCCATTGCCTTCTGGTCTTGTCTGTTCTCCCGGCCAGGAAGGAACCAGCTTGTGTCTGATTCTCTCTTGTCATATAACAGACAATCTCTCTCTTATAACAAGGAACTAAACAAGGAAAAGGAAGAATTCATGCCGCACCAAAAGGACTGGAGATCTAAAGATATGCACGCATCTGAAGCTGTGTTTTTGAAAGTATTTTTCACTTATGTCTGCTGGAAACATAAGTACTGATTGTAGTTGGTTAACCGATTTTCTGTGATTTGGAGGCGTTCTTGCCATCCTAAATTGAATAGTGAAAACTAAAATATGGTGACCAACTACAAATAAAGCAAAACACATACGCCTTATTTAAAAAAAAAAAAAAAAAAAAAAAAGGACTGGACATCACTGGGAAACAGGCCAATGGTGTAAGGCCAGGGTGGTGAGGGGCAGCCCAGGAGGAGGCAGAGAAGGCCCTGTCCGAAGCATGCGGCCCCCTCCTCAGCCGAGCAGTGACGCTTAGATTCACCAGTCAGAAGGAATCTGCAGCACTCTGCAGTGCCCTGTAAGGTGCATTCCTTTGTCCCACAAAGCCCACCTCTACAGCCCACCTCACGTCCCCTGGGCGTGACTTCCCTGGCGTGTTGTCTGTACCGGACCACGCAGGAGTCCTCCCGATAAAACTTGTATTTTTTTTTTTAAAGATTTGTTTATTTATTGGAAAGTCAGATATACAGAGAGGAGGAGAGACAGAGAGGAAGATCTTCCATCCGATGATTCACTCCCCAAGTGAGCACAACCACCGATGCTATGCCGATCAGAAGCTGGGAACCAGGAACTTCTTCCGGGTGCAGGGTCCCAAAGCTTTAGTCCGTCCTCAGCTGCTTTCCCAGGCCACAAGCAGGGAGCTGGATGGGAAGTGGAGCCGCCGGGATTAGAACCGGCGCCCATATGGGATCCTGGCGCATTCAAGGCGAGGACTTTAGCAGTTAGGCCACGCCGCCGGGCCCTTAAAACTTGCATTTAAGATGAACTTTATTCTGCGTGGATTTCATGAACTCGAGCGTTACGTCAGGCACAGAGAGAAGGAAGGGAACAGTGCAACGACCCTGGTAGGAGCGTCCTGAGCTAGGAGCAGGCCACTGTGCAGTCAGGCAGGCAAGTGGGGGTGAGCAAAGCAGTTGCAGTAAGAAATAATGGGGGCCCAGGGAGCCCGCCATGCTGTGGGCCAGCAGGAGCAGGGAGGGCTTCTTTGAAAAGTGAGAGACTAAACAAATTGGGGAGCAGGAGGAGCAGGAATTTGGTTTTATCCCTTAAGCCCCCCCGAAGACTGCCGAAAGTCCTGCTTAACTTCTCTTCCTCTGAGCTGTTACTCACCCTCCAGCCTCTGCCTGTTTGCAAGTTTGGCGTGGGAAATGTTAACCTGCATGTCATGGAACCTTCTGTGCTTCTCCCTGCAGCTTGACCTCCTGGAGTAGATCTCCAGTCCTTTCGGTGTGGCATGAATTCTTCCTTTTCCTTGTTTAGTTCAGGGTTTTCTGTCATCTCGACAAGCGAGAGACAAGGTATCCGGCACAAGCTGACTCCTTCCTGGCCGGGAGAACAGACCAGACCAGAAGGCAATGGAGGGAGCTGACAAGATGGACGCTCCTGCACAGCGGGAACCTGCTCTGGGCTTCATCCAGGTCTGGCTTTGGAAGATGCCCAGCAGGAGGGCCAGAGAGCAGAGTGGGCAGAGGTCCACGCAGCCGTTCCCTCCTCTCACAGCAGAGGACTGAGTGAAAGCCCTCCACCCCCGCCAGGAGCAGCCACACAGCCCTGTGCAGAGCAGAGCGGCTCTGTGGAGGGCCACTCGCTCGTGTGTGACCTTCACTGGCTCTGGAAACCGTCGCTCCTATTTAACCCTGCCCCTGTTTGCAGCCGCCAGGATCTTGACCTTTGTGCTCCCGCAGCAAAACCAAACCTACCTGTTTCTAAGATGGTACTGACTTGCTCCCATCTGCCCCCCACCTGCTGTCTTTGATTCTAACCTTCTGACAAAAGGGAGAGAGGGCGTGCTGGTTCAATCCGCTGTTCCGCCATAGCCAACATTCCGTTCCACCTGCAGCCACCAGAAAGTGCTGCTTCCGCTGTTCCAGGCACAAGATGAGATCATTCTTCTCTTGGGGTCCTTGTCTTCCCCTCGGTGGCTCCCCAGTGCTCCTCTTGGCTGGCCGTGGAGGACTCTCCTGGATCTGCTGCAGGACCCTTTCTCCATGCCGAGGGGCTCCAGTGTGACCACTGCTCTGGTTCCTCAAAGGCGTGCTCCGAGTCTCTCCTTGCCAGCAGCCCTGGCCTTCGCTGGCACAGCCCTCAGCCTCCAGAGCTCTGCTTACACACACCCATCCTCTCGGCCTCCTGCCCCAGATGGGCTTAGCCCCTGTAGCCCTGGAGACCACCCTAGAGTAAGCTTACTAGACGCAGTAATCACCCATTTACAGGGCTACCTCCCCATGCAGACCCTGGCGCTAGAGGCTGTGTCCTCTTGTCGGTTTGTGCATTGCCTGGTTCATGCCTGCATCTGTCACCAGATAACTAGCTGGCTGAGCTCAGGAGTGTCCCTGTCGCACAGCAGGTCTGAAGGCCCCACTGGCCAAGCTTTCCCCTGCACCACCAACCAATGTACTGGACATGCCATGAGCCACATCCGGTCTAAGCATCAACATGGAATGTGTCTTTGATGGTACTACTGATGTGGGGAGATCCCCAAATGATGTCCTGGGGCTCAAGTGCCCTGACTGGGCTAGGAGAGACTCCGGCTAGCTTACTGCAGGTTCTTCCCGTGTGTGATGAAACACCTGGGGGAGGCAGACAGTGGTGAATTTAGAAGAGCAGACTTGGTTCAAGTGCAGGATAGTACACACTGCAGGCAAGCTCAAGAGAAAGGACTGCCCCACCCAGGCTGGGGCTGTGCACCTTACATGACAGCGGTGCTGGTCGGGCCTGATTGAGGAGCCCGAGGAGATGGGATTTGGGGGCAGGGCTGCAGCACTCACGGTGGTCTCCAGAGAGGTGACACAGCCCTTGGAGCATGACAGCGAGTGAGGCTTTGCCACATGCTGAAGGGTAGCTGGGCTGAGGCTCCGACCGCGTGGCATTGGCACAGAGGCTGATGGGATTTGGAAGGGGGGACCATGATGCCAGAGTGGACCTCCTTTTAGCGCCTTAACCGTTCCAGACTCCCTGCCTCACCAACCGCTCTGTGGTCCTGCAGAGACAGGGACCCTAATGGGGACTGTTTTCCAGGTAAACAGGAGGAAGCCAGGGAGAAGTTGTGCCACTCAGCCATAGTCAGTGTGGCTCCAGTACTTTCACCTTTATCCCTCCTTGAACCTGTCCACATCACATCTGTCACTCTGTCCTCGTGGACCCTCAGCTGAGCCTCTGCCAGAGGGAAACATTTGAACAGACCAAAAACCTGTAGGAACGCTGGCTCTGAAAACAAGGAGCTCTGTAGCCGCTCAGCTACCTTCGTCCACCAGGGGGCACTCACAGCTGCCAGATAAAATAATCTCTACCTTTTTTTTTTTTCTGTCTTCCTCCTTTAAAACAGAATTTCATTTTTTATCATTACGAAGAAGTAGTTCAAATTCAACACCTGACTCCTGACTTGGGCTTTTGGAAACTAGCACTTGGGGAAAAGTGCATTTCCACCCCACATGCCCCGTGGGCTGCCTGTGCAAGGACGAGCTGATGATACAGAGTGTCTTGGGTAGTGCATAGCGCAGATCGCAGTTTGCATGGTGGAAGATGTAATTGCAGCCCACAAAAGACTTAATTTTCTCCACTCCCCCCCCCAGCTCATCAGACAGCTGCAGAAGCTGAGAGAAAAACCAAAGAATACATCTTCTTAGCCAGGACTCTATTTGGCCAACAGCAGGGACAGGGATACGTAGTTCCCACGCCCCAGGAGACATCCGCCAATGTCTGTCAGAACAAAGGGGCTTTCCTATCTCACCTGAACCTGAGGTGCTGTTCCTGTGCCCTTCGCTGGCTTTTCGACAAGCTTCTGGCAGCTTCCGTTGTGCTCCGGAGAGAAGATGAGAGGGGAACTGACATCAAGAGGTGGGGTCCTTGCCCCTAAACCACTGTAACATTCAGGAAGCAAACTCACAATTTCCCTGGGAAGGAAAGAAGCCCAGGCCCATTCCATGGGAGGGCCAGAGGCAAAAAGAACAGTGTCCACACACACACACACACACACACACACACACACACACACACACAGGCAGAGTGACAGAAGGAAAGAAAGAGATTTCCCATCTATTGGCACATTTCCCAAATGGCCATAGCAGCCAGGGCTGGGTCCAGGTTTCAAGCCAGGAGCCAGGAACTTCATCTGGGTCTCCCATATGGGTGAGAAGACCAAACCCCTATAATATGAAAAAAGTACCCGGACCCTCATCTGTGTCCCTCCAAAGTGTCTTTGTCTGTCCCGCATCAAATGCAACGTGCTGGCCCCATAAGGTGCTGATCGCTGCTCTCAAGAAGTCATTTGCTTCTCCAGTAGGTGAAGCCTCCCTGGCCAGTATCATCTGGACAGACTTATTTCAGGGAATTTCAAGTCTGGACAGGGAAATTTCAGGTCTGGGCAGACAGTCACTGCCAGTTACATGTAACCTCTCAGAACGACCGAAGCCCACCTGACCATCACAAACCCCCCTAAACAGTATGGCATCACCCGCTGCCTGAAGGCAGGGCGTGAATGCCTCTGACCAGCAGGCACTTG